TTCAGTTTCTTTGGGGGTTACATCACCATCAAACGTCATAAATACATAATGTACATATATATACAAATTATGCTAGACATTCATATTGCAAACATTAATGTATAAATAACTTTAGGATAGTAACACTGTACTTTATTATGCATATTGACAAAATAAAAGAATGTCTATTTTTCAGTGTCTGTCACTTTGTTTCATTTATGGCATGAGAGTCTTTCTGCTGAAACGTGTCTTGTGTCTGGCAATGGCATCTTCCTTAGTTAATTAGGTTCTTGAATGTTCTTTTGTGTTGCCAACCTCCTGGGTTCTGCTGGAATTGCAGGTTCTGTGTGTAATATGTTCTTTAGGATATCATTCGTGAAATAACCTCCCATGGCAGGTTCTTGATAAAAGAGGCGATCCACATAATCTGCAATTCAAAATACAATATGATAGGTCTTGGTTGGTAGGCCGGAAAATAAATACAAAACCAATTCAACTATTCATTATACACCATATCTTGAGTAGGTAGGATTAATACTTTTAATTACAATAGTAAATGTTGTTGGGTCTGCAGTAATTAAAATACACTGGTTCCATACATTTTCCAATTTTTTTCATATCTTGCTTTTGCAAGTTTTCAAGAAAGTGTAGCATTAGAAATACTAATTTCATTGTTAAAGATTGCTCAGCTTGAAACTGAAATGTTTGAATTCATGTCTATGGAAATATAGAAACAACATGTTGATTGTGATAGGCAGCCTCTGTCACAGACAAAACTCATGTCTGTTTTATTGACACCTATGTGTCTGCCTGCCTGTCAGCTAATGACAATATGCAGTACACAACTTCAATCACTGACCTCATGCAATTTAAACTAACACCTATCAGGCTATAGGCCATAAACAAAACCCATTGATTTATGGCTCGTGCACCTGAGTTCTGTCTCTGTCACATTATGTAATTACACAGACAGGCAGGTGTGATACTTGTACACATGGCATGTTATGATGTCTGTTGATTGCAAAATGTTATACACACTGGTACCTTTGCACTCAGATTTGACTGATGCCTGAGTTGCAGCCGACCTCCTGCAGACATAACCTCTCTTTGAAGTCTGGGCTGATGCTGTTTTCAGAAGTTTCTTGGATGGTGGCAGACTAGCTGTTGACTCCTAATAAAGAAAAATGGAGTGAATGAAAATGCATACATGTAATTTTAATATATTGTTGTATTTAAATTACAAATATATAAATGTCAAAAACAACATCTCATCATTAGACATTCGCTCCTCTGACACTTGCTATTTTCACTACTTTCTCTTACATTTCTCCAGTAGATGAACTTGCTGGTTGTAGTTCTGAGATAGAGGCTACATCTGGGATGGCTTCCTCAACTGTGACAGCTAGTTGTGGGGTGGATGCTTGATCACATGATCCATCGTGATCATCCAAGAAAAGGTCTAATGTGGTAGATGTGGGTGTCAGGTGAGGTAGATCTTCTCGCACAGTCGCAAGTAGTTGTGTAAGTATCTGTATTAAAGTAAGCAAAGCAAAGTTATTACAGATTGAATTGATATTTAAAAATATTGCTAATATGTAACTCAGATTGTACATAACATATTTTACATATTTTTTATTTTCATACAATGCCAATAACAGACAATTATAGTAATAACTGAACATATATGGAAAATGAATTCATGAAAACATGCCATGAAAGTAAGTACAATTCATTGGAATGTTATTTTTTATAATTTTTAAATGTTGAAGTATTTTTTCCAAATGATTTTTACAGTTATGCAGCATCAGCAACTACATCCCTCCAATTTTGAAGAACATGCATTATAATAATAATATCTTTATAGTGAGAGGTGAATGAACTAATGGGGAGTAACAACATTTGGACAGTGGTGTGTTTGTGGTTACTATAAAGCAAAATGTCAACATAATTCAAGAGCAGATTCATACCAAAAAATACAAGATAGGCTAATGTCACTTGGGCCTAGAAATATCAACACTAGTGATAACATCTGACATGAAAACTATTCCAAAGACACGATTTACATCATAAAACATTGATCAATGATTCCCATTCGAGTATGTACGATATATTCACATATTTGCCATCATTCTTCAGGAATGATGGTATGTTTACTGAGTGAATTATAGCCATAAATAGTAACGGGGGGATGTACGGATGTACAAATTCTAGAACTCATTATTTTGCTTGGTAATTTATAATTCACGGTGTATGTATCTAAACATATGTGTGTACTATTTACCCTGTCCTTGCTTGACTCTTTTCTCTTTCGCTTTGTTGGATGTCCGAACATGTCAACATGAGGTAGAGGACCGGTGTTTGGTGTCAGTTTCTTCAGGATCGAAGAGCCCTGGTGTTTGAAAATCAGAGACATGTTTTACTGAATTGATGGCGACTAAATTTCAATTGGAACCGAACGCGTAGCGTGAGGTTTCAATTGAAATATTTAGTCGCCATCAATTCAGTAAAACATGTCTCTGATTTTCAAACACACTAGGGTTATCTCCATTCTACCATGACCCATTTAAAATCGAACTTCCTCGCTCTGCGGAAGACACTGCGTAATCCGGCATGGGACGAGAGGCGAATTGAACTCGTCTGTGAAGGGAGCGGTAGGTGCCGTTCGTATTTTTTTAACATTACAACATAACAATATTCTGTCCAAAGAAATCAAACTACTGTTTATTCAATGCAATTATGTAATACCCAAGATCTTGTGTTTTTCATCCCATCTCCACACGACTAAAATCAGCCTATTGTTTTGTGTGCCGTGAAACTGTAGCCCCTGGCCACACTATAATGGAATCGTCTGACCTACTTATTTTCTTCGAAGTAGACAGTTACGCAACAGTTTGAAATGGCGGACGAGCCAGTGTTTACATTTTGCGAAAGGTTGAAATTTGAAGTGACAGTGGACAATACTTGACTGACTGTCGAATCTGAACCCTGCAGAATCGAAGAATAGATCCTTTCCTGATCAACCTACTACCTGTAACTCATCAAAGACTGTTGATTTTTATGACCGGCCGAACATGATTTCACGTACTGCCTCCACCCCGGCATGGGACAACAGAGTGACAGTGCTGCTGCTTAGTTTACATGCGACTAACTTGTGATTCCTTGGAACTTTGTTTTCGTCGTTTGGGACTGGACTGTGTCCAAGCGTTTTCCAAAGTAGATGAACATTACAGTGACAACCTTGTAACCGGGTTTTCTTGGCTTTATCTATTATTTTATACAGATGACACCAAGACAGCTACGGGGTGTGAGGCTTACGTTTATTATATACGATAGTCACCCTGTAATAAGAAACAACAGATAATATAGTATATGCATATTAAACATAATATAATATTATATATCATATCATCATCAAAGCAATACAATCATTTCTGTTACATTACTTACAACTATGTATTATTAGATGATACGATAGAAAATGCTTACAGTACATATTAAGTAAAATGGTTACACATACCCCATGTGTGGCACAAGGGTGAAAACGTGATACCCTTTGAAATGTCACCATTCATGATATGTCCTGCAGAAGAAAGAGCAGGAATAAATACTTAGAGTGACTAAATACACTGAATAACAAAAATGCACAGCTTATGCAATTCCATTAATGTAGATATACTAGTAACTTAGCATGTATACAAGATAATATTAAAATACAGTATTGCTTAGGTTTAAAGTTCAGCCTCTAAACCACATTCATTCAAAACATTAATAGAAATATATAATTCAATGTAAATATAATTACTTCTTAGATGCTTATTTATAATGCATAATCTTTGATTACTATTTAATCCTATTTAGAAATAAAGATGAATTATAAACTAACCTTTTGTGGTGATCTGTGAATACTCCCAGTGCAGTGCATAGTGAAATGGCAATATGGAGTTAGTCAGAGCAAGAAGGTAAAGTTTAAATTTGGCCAATCACAGGATCGCTTGGGGTGTGATTGATCAGCAGAGGGCTGGACAAAGAATGTAGTGGAGCTTGGGTTGTGATTGATCACTGAGGCCTGGGCTTAGAATGACAAACACACACCTCTGTTGAATAAAGTTCAACAGAAACAAAACTTGAAATATATTTATTTACAAAAATAAGACTAAAATACAAATATATACACCTGCTACACACTTCCCCCCGGGATGAAAATGATGTCCTCATCATTTGCCTAAAACAAGGGAGAGAAATGCATTCTGTACATCAGTACTGTCGTTGGCGAGCATTCCAGCGTTGATAAGAGAACTGAGATACTCAGCTCTGATCTTCCAGTCGGGATGTGGAACTGCAGACATTACATACTCACCGCTAGACATCCACCGTGGCTGTGTCCGAGTCCTCCCTGATCTTCTGGGTTGCTGTGCGGCACATCTTCAACTGACTCAGGATCATCTTCCACATTGGCAGGTTCTTCTGGGGCTGCACCAGGATCTGCGTCAGTGGTCTCCACATCTGATGTCCTCTCTGCAGCAGGATCAGCCTCAGCTGAAATATCTTCAGGCTGATCTGGCTGGCTCCCAACTGCGTCTCCAACTAAATCGTCTTCGTCCAATGCAAAGTCTTCAACTTCTGCTCTAGCCTCAGTTGGCCTATCAGCTATATCCGCAGCTGACACTGACGGCTCAGACGATGGGAAATATATGTCTGACTCGTCATCCTCTGGTTCCTCGACTGGAACAGCAAGTCTCTTTGATCTTCTTGGTTTGGGATAGGTCTCGGTGGCTCTGGTGCTAGTGAATCCGGTACAGGGAGTGCACCAATGGGAAGTAGAAGATTCGGTGTAAAACTCTCTTCCTACCTTCACCATTCTCCTTTCCGACCACATAGACAGGGATGGAGGGTTCGGTTGACGAAGAACTGTATAAATGTCACCTTCCCATCTGTCTGCTAGTTTGTGTCTTCCTTCAAAGCGACGGTTTTAACCAGAACTTCGGTCACCAGTCTCTATAATTGCTGCTCTTGCCTTCTTATCAAAAGTAGGTCTTCTGATCCTGCTGTGCCTCCTTGCTGTTCTGTGAAGCTAGATGATATGCCTCTTGGAGTCGATCTCTTAATGACTTTGTGTACTGCTGCAGTGACTTGGGCTTGCTTGGCTGGATGTCAAGTCCAAATGCTAGATCCACTGGAAGTCTTGGGTGGCCGTAAAACATAAGGAAGAAGGGGAATGTCCGGTAGACTCATGCCGAATGCAATTGTATGCATGGACTAAGGGTCCAACATGAGCCTTCCAGTCCCTCTTGGCGTCTGGTTCCAGAGTCCCCAACATATCACATAGGGTCGGTTGAAGCGTTCACACATCCATTACCCATGGGATGGTAGGTGTTAATGGACGACCTATTGATCCCAAGCAGCAGGCACAGCTCTGACATCAGCTTACCAACAAAATTGGCTCCTTTGTCGGAATGAATCCTCTTGGGCAGACCGTAATGGATGATAAAGTTGTTGAAAAACAAGTCTGCTGTCGTCTTGGCTGATGTATTCCGACAAGGATAGGCTTGAGCGTGCGGGTGAAATGGTCAGTAATGACCAACACATACTGTTGACCACCCTTGGATGGCTCCAGAGTCAAGAAGTCCATGCAGACCAGTTCCATAGGCTGCAACGTCTGGATGCTCACCAAAGGGGCTCTGATGGATGTGTTTCCCTTCCTTTTCAGACACCTCTCACATATCTTCAGGTAGTCATCTACATCCTTGGTCATACCAGGCCAGTAGAAACGTTCCTTGAGTAGGGATAAGGTCCGATCTCTGCCTGGATGTCCTACACGATCATGCAAGCTTCTGAGTGCTGAAATCCTACATCTGGAAGGTAGCACTAGCTGTTCTTGATCACATCCATCCATGCTGGTGACTCTATATAACACACCTTCCCTCAAAGTCAAATGTGCAAATGTCTTCAATAAAGTAGTCATCTCTGGGTCTCCTTGGAACTGAGTTCTGTCAGGTCTTGTGGCATTCTCCAGATGCTCCATAATAACAGCAAGGGATGTGTCCTTCAGCTGAGCGCGCGCCAATCCTTTAGTTGGCAGCACACACATGGTCACTTACATCTGCTTCAATTCCTGGAACCACTTCTGTAGACAAGCACAAACTCTCAACAAGATTAGGTGCACAAATCTTGTTACAAATAACACTCACCACATCACGAGACAGGTCTTCCATCTGGACTGGGTCTTTGCTGGGCAAGCGAGACAACACATCAGCATCAGCGTTGTTCTTCCTGGTCGATTACTTGATGGTAAAAGTTGTAACTTGCTAGAGCAGCTAACCACCCGATGTCCTGTGGCCAGGCGATGCTGTAGTAAGTACATCGATCAGGGGATTATTGTCGGTCATTACTACGAAATCATTGCCATACAAATAGTCGTGAAATTTCTCTGAAACGGCCCATTTCAGACACAAAACTCGAGTTTATGCGCTGAATAGTTCCGTTCAGATCGATTCAAACCCCTACTTGCATAGGCAATAACTTCGTAGGTGACCATCATACTCCTGGTATAAGACTGCTCCTAGGCCATGGGTACTAGCATCAGTGTGCAGCTCGAAAGGTCTTGAAAAGTCAGCAAACCCAAGGACTGGAGGTGATGAAAGTCTGTTCTTCAACTCCTGGAAAGCTTCTTCTTGAGCAGGACCCCAGTTCCAAGCAGTTTGGGATGTCTTAGACCTCGACTTCTTGGTGGCACACTTCGGCATAAGTTCTGAGAGGGGTCTGGCGATCTTAGAGAAGTCCTGGACGAATTTCCGATAGTATCCAGCAAATCCCAAGAATTTCCGGATGTCTTCTGGAGTAGATGGTGTTGGCCAGTGCTGAATCTTGTCTATCTTCTCTGGATCAGCTTCAATCCCCTCAGCAGACACAATATATCCAACGTACCTCACCTTTCTCTTAAAGAACTTGCATTTCTGTGGGGCGAGCTTCAATCCACATTCTTGTAATCTTCTAAAGACGAGCTCCAGCCTCTCCACATGCTCCTCGTATGTCCGGGAAAATATGATGAGGTCATCTATGTATATAAGGCAGATCTTCAAGTTGAGTCCCTCTAGGCACTTCTCCATAAGGCTGATAGGTAAGCTGGAAGTTTGACAAGCGAGCGGCATCCTGTTGTACTTTCGAAAAATCGAGTGGACCTACAGTAAAAGCCGTTCTCTCCTTGTGGGTCATCATCTATCTCAACTTGGTAATAGCCGCTCTTCATATCCAGCACTGAGTAGAACTTGTTCCCTCGAGACAATCTAAAAGTTCTTCAATTCTCAGGAGAGCATAACTGTCCTTAATTGTCCGGTTGTTCAGCTGGCGAAAATCTATACATAGACGTAAACGACCATCTTTGGCGCTTGGCTAACACAGCGTTGGAAGCCCATGGACTATGAGTGTCTAATCACACCAGAGGACAACAGTTCTTGAAGATGACTCGAACCTGATCATACATTGCTGGTGGTATCGCCCGATGTCTCTGCTTGAAGAACGCGTCATCATAGAGTTCTATCCGATGCTTGACCATGTTGGAATGTCCAAGATCTTTATCATGTTTAGAGAAGATGTCACCATATCTCCTAATAACCTCCAGTCCCTGTGCAACTTCATCGTGTGTAAGTCCATCTTCCTCCAACTCAATGTCGTCAATCCACTTCTCAGAGTCTGAACATCTCATGTCTGGTAGGTCTTCTATTGTCTGGGTTGAAGTTCACACAGCAGAGCCTTAGTTGGAACAATCATGGTCTGGGTAGTAACATTAGACACATGAACTTGTATCTCATCTGGTCTGTCATGGCAGTATCTCACAACGACTGGTATGATGTCTAAGTCCTTAGAAATAGTAGAGTCTACAGTTGGCTGTATAAGGGGCACACACTTGTGGATATGGAATCCTTTTGCACAGTTGTCCACGGATGATGGCAGAACCATTAGCAGGTATGATTACAGGCTTATATTCAATGGATCTAACAAAGCCCAACTTCCCACCATTCTTCTCTAACTCCTTCTCTCGAAGCATCATACATCTAAGGCCAGGTACCAAGGTGTGTAGAGGTTGGCCGTCTGAAGGAATCGGATTCCATTAACCTTTCTGCAGGCATCCAAAAGCACTCCAAGAACATTAGTCCCAAGAAGAGCAGGAACTTTGGCATTATAGCTGGTGTCAGGCACAACAAGTAACAAACAAGTGATGTCATCTTGGTCATCACAACCATCACCAATACCCTTGACCTTAACCTCAATGTAACCAGAGTAAGGTAATGAGTTTCCACCTGCACATTCAATATTAAGAAGGCTATCTACTGAATGTATGGGAATATGAGTGAGATACCTATCATAAAAAGAGATAGACACAATAGACACTGTGGCACCTGTGTCCACTAACCAGCCCTAACGGAATATTCTCAATAAGTATATCTACCTCATTTGAATTCCCAACTAAGTCAGTGTGTGCGAATACACGAGGGCTAGATGTAGCACCTACAGGCGCCCGAGACCATAGGCGTGGCCGAGTTTAAAGGCCTCTTAAGATGGTCAAGGCGTACCGACAGCCATAATACAAATGTCGGGATAGCCACACCTGAAACACAGGCTCATGATCCGATGCTTGTCCTGGTGTGAGAGATCTGTTGTCGTTAGCTCCAGCCCCAGGTTGATAGAAATAGGAAGGGGCGGCGGCATTCCTTCCCTCGGGAGATGGAGCAGGATACTTGCTGGATCGAGGATCATACATAGCTGGCTGATATCCTCGTCCTCCCGTCCATGACCTCTTGTTCTCGGTGGCTCTCTCCCATACTGCTGTCCGTGGGTGGGTAGAACCAAAGGAGATTGTTGCTGGTACACTTGGGCTGACAGCTGCTGATGTTGGTCACGTGGGTCGCATACACTCGTGGTCAGATCCTTGATCATCCCCTTCAGCTCAGCGATGTCATCAGGCTTAGAGGCGGGCTGGTTACTGGCCATGTTGGCGGATCGCGGGCTTCCGACTTAGACTTCTGGATATCTGATCTGGCTCGGTTCTGTTCAAATTCTATCTCACGGAGGCACAGTCTAAGCTCATCAAAGTTGGAGATACTCTCATATTTATGAGCAGCAAGACTCTTCAGTGAAGTCTTCAATCCATCCCAAAGTCTGGACCTCAACATCTCATCCTGCTCTGCTAAAGAAATCTGCTTCTGTTCCGCTAACTGGTATAACAGTCTCTCAAGTCGACAGCTCCAGGCAGTTACGTCTTCGTCATTTTGCTGGTAGGAGCTGTAGAACTCCGAAAATAATGAAGAACTTCGGCGGAGAGTACCAAAGCACTCTTCAACTTCAACAGAACATCCACAATGGAAGCATGATGACCAAGTTTCATCACAATAAGAGCCGCCTCACCCTTCAGTGACTGACGAATACCCTGAAGGATAACAGAGTTGTCATGGGCCTTGGACTCCATCAGACAATTCACCTCATACCGCCAAACATCATAGTCAGCATCCTTGCCGGCCGTTCCACTAAACAAAGGAAGTTTAGGGAAGTGACGATAAGCAACCTTAGAACTAAGTGGCACCTGTTCTGGCTGAGAACCATCTAAAGTGGAGGCTTCTTCCTTCTTCACAACTGGACCACCCTGCGTGGCATACTGCTTCAACCAAGACTTAAAGTCATCAGGGGTTATCGGCCTTAGGATGCAACCCCATCTTAGCAAAACTATCAACAAGACTAGCATATTCTTCTTCAGAGAAATTCATCTTCAAAGGCACAAGACTCCAAGTAAAGAATAAACAAAATCAGACATGGATCCAAGGCATGGATACAATGACTTGATGCAGTAGATGGTGGTTTGTGAATGTGTCAATAGCTACAAAGACGATGTGTTAATCCCATACAAAAGTAGCACATACAGTGAGGGTACAATAATTGTATTTTCAGCGGCAAACAAACAAATTAAAGGACATCAGTTGGGTTTATGTGGCAAATGCAAGTATTACCCACATGGGTAATTAACAAGATTTGACCATAAGATTAGATTATGCCATGGTTGGCAGATGCAGAATAATGAAATATGTGGACTACAATAACTATGAAGACCACAGTGTGTGTCGAACGCGTGACAATATGTACAAAAGCGGGTCGCGACTCAAGGCAGCGCCATCATGATGTAGACATTTCACGACAAACGCATAAGCGGAGCAAAATCATCGCAAACGCAAAATAATCACGAGCGACGCAAGCGGATACTAAAGCAAAGGATGATAATTACAAATGGACCCTACATAATGAATGAATATAGACCACAGGCAAAGAGGGAGACAAAGAAAGCGAATGAGCTGGTTAGATATTTGAACTAAGTGTAGTGCAGTGCAGTTAACTATGACATTTATATTCTAAGATAAAACTGAAGTTTAATGCTAAGTTTATTTAAAACTAAAGTTTATTTGGCTAAGTTTATTGATTTAAGTATATTCACACAATCATACTCACACGTCACACCTAAAACAATGTAAATGATTAAAGAGACTACAATATGGAAATAAGCGAGAACACAAGTGAAGCTTGTACAAACACAACAAAATGCTAACTAACTAAGCTGCAGCTAAGTATAAAGAAACGCAAATTGATATGGATATGTGTACACCAAATGAAAATAAATGCAGTTGACACTACATCTTATTGAGGGTAAATAACCTGCAGGTAATATGTAAACAAAAGCAATGCTACAAACCGTAAAGGTATTTAAAGAAACAACAAGGAGTTATGCCAGGCAAATATTTACAAGTTCATAATGGACAGAAAATTCGAAGATGAATGTTTACAGACATGTCAAATGTAAACAAAGTCAAAGCAATATTGCAAAAAATGTAGAAACAGTACTTACAGTTCAAGATGAACAATATAAATATATCCAATTAAAGACGAGAAACAAAATAGTCCGGAAAATGAGTCACAATTCACAATCACCAAACCAAGTACAGCAAATTGTCAACTTGACCTGCCTTGGAGTCTCTGGGTCAAGGTCGCTGTCAAAGTTCAGTAAGTCCTAGGGTCACAAGACCCAACAACATGGACCTGACAGTCACTCGTGTGATGGCCAAATCGACCATAATTACAGTTCTTTCACAAACTTGCATTCCATGCGGGTATCCAGGCATCACATAAGTTCCTCACTGGGGCTCCAAACATGTAACCGGGTTTTCTTGGCTTTATCTATTATTTTATACAGATGACACCAAGACAGCTACGGGGTGTGAGGCTTACGTTTATTATATACGATAGTCACCCTGTAATAAGAAACAACAGATAATATAGTATATGCATATTAAACATAATATAATATTATATATCATATCATCATCAAAGCAATACAATCATTTCTGTTACATTACTTACAACTATGTATTATTAGATGATACGATAGAAAATGCTTACAGTACATATTAAGTAAAATGGTTACACATACCCCATGTGTGGCACAAGGGTGAAAAACGTGATACCCTTGAAATGTCACCATTCATGATATGTCCTGCAGAAGAAAGAGCAGGAATAGTAGTATAGGTAAAGACAGTCCGGGACCAGGGTAGCCAAAGCTTTATTACATAGATAAAGCTTTAGTCGGATACCTTATTCTTACTGTCATTACCTATACAGAAAGCCTTATTTCCCAAATTATGCTTTAGTTGGATCAAGCTATGAAAAACATTTGTTTGATCAAATAGCCTCTATGTCGTGTTGACGGGAGGTAATACTGTGTCATACGGTACGATCAATAATTCTTCTCTCACAAACCCCCTCCCTGGCCCATCCCTCAAGTAGTACAAGTTAGGTTCGTCGGCTTTGATGTCTACCTTATCTATGACACTATACCATGTTTACCTCGACGAAACAGTTTAATGTAAATCGTCTGTTATATTTTTGGTGTTTGTAATAAACGCTTGCCGGGCTTTTTGTACTCCCTGTTCTATATACTTTTTTTTCTCATCTTCACTGATAGCAGTACTTTTACGAGACTTGGACTGAATATCTTGTTTCATTTTGTTATATTTTGCGAGTTCAGAGAGGACTAAACGAAACTCCTCCTCCGAGATTTTGTTATCAGTGA